GTAGAAACTAAGCATTTTGAAAAGGAGAGAAAGAAGCTCTCATTGTGCGTCACGCAGCCTCCGGAAAAAGCAAGTCCTTCCCCCAAAAATGGCCGGTCCTCCTCTCTCCTAATGATCGTCGATTGTGGCGCTGTGCGCGGAGAAATTTGGAAGTGTGAAATTTGAAAAAGAAGCGGGAAGTAATTAGAGGTGCTAACACGCCCTTTCACAACTTCCGCGAACGTGCTACGCGCGGTTTTACCGTTCTTCGTCGCCGATGACCACATTGGAAATATTGGAAACATTGAAATGAACTTCCGTTTCCTGCGCAAACTTGTCTCAGGAATAACCTAAAATCCCAGAAGTTTCATTTCTGCGGCTCGAACTTTGGGAAAAATCCCTTGCAAACGTCGAAGGATGCCACAAGCTGCTACTGTTGGCAAGATAGTAGAACGTTGTGGGGTTGAGTTTACGAACAGCCCAAGATATGATAGTAAGCAAAGGCCTACAAAACAATTAAACGCACTATATTCGATCACGCGATGCTACAATCACAAGCAAGCAATTGACAAGTAAGAGAAACTTACCAAACACCACTTATATTAAACACATCCGCCAACTTCGTACGTAACTTTGGTATTTTTCGCAGTTACAAATGTAATTTGAGTGTAAAGGAATACCCCACGAAAGAAGTAAATGAAGAGAAAGAATGTAGGACGCAATTCTTTGACGTACCTTTTTGTCACAGTCGAAATGAATCTGGAGACGTGGCAACACAAATTCACTAGCTACACTTGAGTTTTTAAAGTTCTTTTTTGCGTCAATTTTTTTTCTTTTAATTAATCGGATATCCTTCGGCAGACGCTTCGTTGGAGTACGATTTCTCTATCACTTTCACGTACAGATAACGGACGGAGCCTAGTACCGTCACAACGTGCCTAGCTCGTCGTCGTAAAGCACAAACAAAGTTTTAAATTCCCTCCATTAAGTGCGGCCACCGAGAACCCATTTTATCGCCACCTTTGTGACGATCAAGACTGTAAAAGTATTTACGCCGGGAAATAAATTGCGGTCACTTCGCTGCTCTTTGGATATACGGATTTCGCCTTATCTCATTCGCGAAAGTTGGGATTTCCTCCCCTCCTTTTTTTCGCAAGTTTAATTATCTTACCTCTAGAATTTTCAAAATGGCGCGTATCCTGCCTTGTTTTTTGACATCCTAGTGGTGTTCTGTATTGAGCCAGCGCGATAACAGTGTTTTCTAAAGTGTGGTACTTTATCTTCTCCCAGGAGGATACTCAATATATGCACAGTATTAAATTTTACACAATTATTTTCCTTTAAAATTGCCATTTTTTGGGAGAGAAGCAAGAAAAAATTGGTGTTACGGGAGATTTTTTAGATAATTGTGAAGAAGCATCATTTGTACCACTTTCTAATGGCGCTGGTTCCGTTTTACTAAATGCGATCCTCATAGCAACAAGTTAAATCAATAATCAACCAGTAATCGTAGAATTGCCTATTGAAAGTTCTATTATTGAGTGTCACACAGTCGCCATCGAGGCAGTGACCGGAAAAATAGGAAAATTTACTTTTTGTTGTGATTGTTCAAACGGCTCCTGGGACTGCAGGAAATCTTCTTGAAGTTGCTCCAGTTGTATTGCTCAATTGTGAGCAGCTTGCATACCAACCGAGAATGCTGCTGCTGCTGTTGAATCATTGATTGCTGCTGCTGCTGTTGAATCATTGATTGCTGCTGCTGCTGTTGAATCATTGATTGCTCCTGCTTTTTAAAATTGACCATGGAGCACCTGTTGTTCTAATGGTTCCCGGCTCCTGGAACTACAGGAAATCTTCTTGAAGTTGCTCCAGTTGTATTGCTTTATTGTAAGCAGCTTGCATACCAACCTGGAATGCTTCTGCTTCTGCTGTTGAATCATGGATTGCTGCTGCTGCTGTTGAATCATTGATTGCTCCTGCTTTTAAACTGGACCATGGAGCACCTGTTGTTCTAATGGTTCCTGGAACTGCTGGAAATGTTCTTGGAGTTGCTCCATTCGGATGTCCGATAAAAGATGTCATCTAGCACGGCAGGATAAGACTATTGACGATCACGACTGCACGTCAATGCAAAATTGCAAGGAGCCCTCATTAATCGCTCTGCGCTAAAGTGCGCTTGTTATTGTGTCCGACTCAGGAAATGAATTTTAAAAGAGCTGTCTACGATCTCAACTAGTTTCCGCGCGAGTGATAGACAGACTTGTCTGTACTTTTAGGATTAATGATTCTCGCGAGAAACTTGGAAGTTCTGAGACGGGCGCATTGTTAGCTAGACATTTCTTCATCCTCCTCTCTCCGGATGCTAATTTGAAAAGGAAATCATAGGAAACCCGATTTCTTGAACCTAATGCCTGGTCTTTACCAATTTTACAATTTCGTGCAGCACTACCTCCACTTGATTTTCCGCGCTCTTTCACGTGCCGTGATCTGTTTTTACAAATATTCATTACCTAAAAAGTCATCGCAATTTTCGATTCGGGAACGCTCGTGAAGTCATTTTCCGAAGACGTATGTTCTTGAAAACACGAACAATGAACAGCAGACCAATAAGTACCCCCTACTCAAAATTTAGTTACTTGAGACAAATTAACGAGAAGTCACATCAATTTGGAAGATGAAAATGGCAACTTTGGAAGCGCGTAGCTCACGTAAGTATGTAGCGTTTTCGGGCATTTGTGTATGGCAAAAAATAGTCATATTTTGAGCCTAATAATCAAAGTATAACAAGAATAATGGAAGTTAAGTACGTTAACTTCCGGGCACCCTGTCTATCAACGAAAACTTCTATTTATCATCAACAACTTTTATTCAACGCACAGCCTTCTTTTAACAAGTCTGGACTTCAAAAACTAATTTCTCTGATTAATTGGTCGCTATAACTCCATGCAAATTTTCAGTATCTGGCTACTGCTCTTAAATTTTCTTCTTTTAACTGGTTTGTCATCATTATCTGATTCCTTTTTATTTCGATCAATTAATCTGATTGTTTGAATGTTAAGTTAAAGAGGCACTGAATTCCTTGAGGAAGTGCCGCAAAAGAACGATTAAAGTACTGATTTTTGGCCAGCCACTCGTAGTTGACGCTTTTTCCGTAAGAAGAAGTTCTGGTTTTCGCGGGAGCCGTAGGTTGCGAGGGACCCATCGACGGCGACTCGCGGCGGCGGGGTAAATAATCTCTATGTTTCAACTCATGCCTATGGATGGCTGTATATTCCTAAGCTACACTGGATAAAAACACATTGGATCTAGAGTCCAGACTCTTAAAAACATTGACAAGAAAAAAGACTCTTGATTCAATCAGATTTAAGCTTAAATCAAAAGGAAATCCGCTCCTATTAAGAGGCTTGGTTCTTGATTTACGCTTAAATCTGATTGAATCAAGCGTATTTTTTCTTGTCGATGTTTTTAAGAGTCTGGACTCTAGATCTAATGTGTTTTTTTCTTCCAGTGTACCAAATAAAAAGGAATAGGAGCCAAATAAACTGCTGGAAAAGAAAATCGTAAGAAGAAACCACTTCCGGACACCCAGTAGTGGACATTCTACTTTTCCCGCCCTGGGAAAAAAAGCACATTGGATCTAGAGTCCAGACTCATGATTTAATCGGATTTTTGCTCGAATCAGAACGAAATCCGCTTAAATTCAGAGGCTTGGGTCTTGATTTAAGCTAGATTCTGATTGAATCAAGAGTACTTTTTCTTGTCGATGTTTTTAAGAATCTGGACTCAAGATCCAATGTGGTTTTTTTCCAGTCATGTCTATAAGAGGCTGTATATTCCTAAGCTACCAAATAAAAAGGAAATGGAGCCAAATAAACTGCTGTAAAAGAAATCCGAAAGAAGAAACCACTTCCAGACACCCTGTAGTAGATATTCTGCTTTTCCCGCACTGGAAAAAAAAAGCACATCAGATTTAGAGTCCAGACTCTTGGAAACATCGACAAGAAAAAATACTCTTGATTCAATCAGATTTAAACTGAAATCAAAAGGAAATCCGCTCAAATTAAGAGGCTTGGTTCTTGATTTAAGCTTAAATCTGATTGAATCGAGCGTATTTTTTCTTGTCGATGTTTTTAAGAGTCTGGACTCCAGATCCAATGTGTGTTTTTTTCCAGTGTACTAAATAAAAAGGAAGAGGAGCCAAATAAACTGCTAAAAAAGAACTCAGAAAGAAGAAACCACTTCCGGACACCCTGCAGTGGACATTCTGCTTTTCACTGGTAAAAAAAACCACTTGGACCAATGCCGCATTGCATTGACTTACGAGTGCAGTTTCTTGTCGCCGGATTTAAGAGTCTTGAACTCTTGTTTCAAGCGGAGTTTGCATTGATCCAAGCGGATTTTGCATTGAATCAAGAGTCCAGACTCTTAAATCCGGCGACAAGAAACTGCACTCTTGAACCAAGAGGTTTTTTTTACCAGTGTTTTTGTAATGTTCGACCATCCATGTTCTTTTACTCGTAAAGAAAGAAATGCACCGGGAAAAAAACATATTGGAGCTAGAGTCCAGACCCTTAAAAACATCGACTAGATAAAGTATACTCTTGATTCAATCAGAATCCAGCTTAAATCTGGCGACAAGAAACTGCACTCTTGAACCAAGAGGTTTTTTTACCAGTGCTCCCGTAAGAAGGAGCTCTGGTTTTCGCGGGAGCCGCAGGTCGCGAGAGACCCTACGCTACTAAATAAAAAGGAATAGGAGCCAAATAAACTGCTATGAAAGAAAAGAGAAAGAAGAAACCACTTCCGGACACCCTGTCGTGGACATTCTGCTTTTCCCGTAAGAAGGAGCTCTGGTTTTCGCGGGAGCCGCAGGTCGCGAGAGACCCACCGGCGGCGGCGGGGTCCTCGCGCGCGATCCTCGGCGGAGGCGGGCCGGGTTCTGGGAGCGATCTGGAGCAGCGCTTTCGGGCTCGTCGTGGCTCGTCGCCGGCCCCAACCAAGACGCTGCGGACACGCCGATCCGCGAAACCGCGACCACGAGTCAGTCTGTGCGCGGCGGCCCCGTCTCCAAGATCATGTCGCTCCGGCCCCTCGTCTCCCGCGACGTCGTCCCGTGACGATCCGATCCTCCGTCGACGTGTTTTTGCGGTTTCCCGATTGTGCCCGTTTTCCTTGCGCGCCTGTGTCTCTTGTGACGTCCTCCATCCCTCTCGTCCCTGTCACGATCCTTCGCCCCCGCTTTCTCGTAAATTACTATTCCCAGCAGCGTTCTTACCCGTAGGCAAAACTAGGATTAAAAGGACCCAGTTTAACAGAAAGGAACCGAGCCACATCAGATATTGTCAAGTGTAACTGAGCAATTAAATTTTTTACGAGAGAACGTTTGTTTGTATTTCTTTGAAAATTTTAGGGAATTTGCTTCGTACCGTGGAGAATTTTCGCTGAAATTTGCAAGAAAATCCGCACAACCGTTTTCATGTAAAAAATTGAATTGGCCAATTAAATTTAGCAACAGCTGATGTGGCTTGGTTCCTTTTTGTTTCACGCGGTCCAAAAGTATCCACATAATGGGGCTCAGTATCGATGGCCTGAGGCGAAACCACGTATTTCCGTTGCAGTGTTTCTAAAGTTGAGTGGGGGAAAACGAATCTCTTGGATCAAGAGTCCAGATTTTGAGATTTGACGAAAAATATACTCTTGATTCAGTCGTTTTTTTGCTTGATTTGAGAGCCAAGCAAATGGTACGCAATACCTACGGCTGAAGGCGAAACCACGTATTTCCGTTGGTATGTGTCAAAGTTTTTCTGGTAAAAAACCCCTTGGATCGAGAGTCTAGACTTTGAACAAATTTGACGCTATTAAATTATTGGAATTTTGCTTGAATCGAGAGCCAAGCCTTTTAATTGAAGCGGATTATCTTTTGATTCAAGCACGAATCCGACTGAATCGAAAGGATTTTTTCTTGTTTAATTTTTTGAGAGTCGCAACTCTGGCACCAAGAGACTGTTTCCCCAGTGTGCCGTTCCTATTTTAATTCTTAGGAACGGACCAACCCCATAGCATAAAATAAATTCTGCTAGCCGAGAAGAATAAACAAGGAAGTTTTCAAGAAACTGCACAGACTTCTTTCCTCAAGGGAAAGAAGTATGATATGGATTCTGCGATGTCGCAAACGTAGAAACGTGGTTTCGCCTCTCGGTCATCGATATAAATTATGTATCAGTATAGTGGTCTGAAACGATAAGAGTTGTATTTTTTACCATCTTCTGAAAATTTTACTAACTCAACTAGAAGTATCGCTCAATGGTAACAATTTCACCCGTATTGAGTAAGGCTACCATTCGTTGAATCGCGTTGTGCGAAATTAGCTATCGTCCATTTGGTTAGCATTGAGCTTTTATGGATTGACAATAATTTTCAAGACTCGATACCACCATGAAAGTGTTGTGAAAACTCGTTTATGGGTTGCATTTATCCCATAACTAAGCTTTACAGTATGGTTATCAGTAAATCGAATCTTGGAAAGTGTAATCGCCCCTTAAAATAGCACAGATGAGAAAGGTGGTATCATTTCTCTTTCTGTACTGTTTGAAACAATTTAACCAGCGACTTCTCATCATTATTCTCGTCGAATAACTGCAGCGCACTCCTTTTTTAAATTTTATTAATAGTTTTTTCCTCAGTATAGAGACTAGATATTTTAACTGCCCTCTAATATTTGAACCTTTTCAAGAGAAACGGCGGTACTAAGAAATTCGTTTATTCGGTTGGTTTTTCTTGTTCTAAGAGGAACATTTGTTCCACCAAGAAAATGTTTCATTACGCCGATTGAAATTTTAGTCGTGACAACCAAAGTCTCCCCCTCGCTATTATATATAATTTCTGAATCATGAACACCACCTCATTCATTACGGCGAGTAGTTTTTGGTTATCACCACTACCATTTTACTCAGCGTAATGAATCGCTTGTTTCAGCGCTGCGAGTATTATCCTCAGCGTGACGAAAGACCGCCAAGGCAACTCCTTTGTTGCAATACATTCGATGTGTATTGATGATTGCCCCACCGTTGAGCGATGTTTTGATCAAATGAGACTCAGTTTGACATACTTGTGTAACAAACTAACTGAGTGCTCAACTTGGCGGATTTAAACCACCCTGCCACTTGGCTTGAATAGCAAGCAAGCTAGTACTCAGCTGTAAATTGACTCTGAGCCTACGTTCTGTATTTTTTTTTGCCGTAGTAGAAAGCGTGATTTCATTCCAGGAAGCTCTCTCTCAACGAAGCACCATAATAAATGCCCTCTCTTTATTTCTTGGTGTTAAAAAGTCCAACTTTCTCAAATTCCCTTCTAACTGAAAATATTTCTCATACAGACGTTTTTTTTTGGAATTTTTAAAGTAATTTTTCTTGAAACTATATCAGCAAACTATTCTTGAAGCTTTTTCATGACCTGCATTTAACTTACCCTTATCGCTTGCAAAAGTGGGCTAATATCAGACCCCTTGGGGATGTACCCTTGTCGCACTTTAAGTAAATAAATGAATCATGTCACTAATTTTCCTGCTCCTCCTACCCTACATATTTTAATCCTCACACACCGCCATTTGTGTTCTTTTCCTGCCAATTTCAAAGTTGTATCCATACCAATTTACAAGTATTTCCTTGCAGCTTAGAATTTCGTCCTAGCGTGGAATAGTTTGGTGCATCAGTGCACTTTAGTGCACAAAGTGGTGAACGTGACTAGTGTGTTTTCGGTAGTGTTTCTTTGCGTGAAATGTGTGTATCATCTCCGAATGACTTCGAGTGGATTTTCAACCCGGTTTAATTAGATCCACTAGAGTGATCAGGTTTGGAACCACGTGTGAATAAACCACGTGTTAACTTCCTTCAATAGGAGGTATCAGGGTAACGCAGATTGGTGTCAAACTAAGCGGTAGTCACAGAACATCGGACTAAGCTTCCTTATGACTGGAATCTTAATCCCGATTCCTCAGACTGAGTACAAATCAACTTTGAATTCTTGGTCAAACTTTTTCGTTATAATCTTGTCTAATTCGATAAGATTTTCCTTTTTTATCAATGGGTTTCAATGGTTATGATTTTTACCAATGCCCATCTGAGCGCTTTAGTTGTGTAAGCTCCTGTTGTCGACGAAACATCCGCTTTCTCATTAATTGAAAATGTACAATGTACATTCCTTGACCCCCGAATCAGGATGAGCAGGCTTATTATTGAAACTGATAGACAAAGCGATAGACATATAACACAGCGGATTATGGGGCGATCCTATTGGCGGAAACGGGTCCTTGCAATGGATAAAGGAGGTAATGTGGTCACTACCAGCAACCGACATGAGACCGTACAGTTAGTATATAATTGTCTCCCTTAGTTTATTAGAACCACACGTTTCAACCAAAGTGATCGATCCATACTCTCCATGTCTTCTTTGTCTATAGATTTTTCTATCAATTTTAACAATTAGCCGGCAGGGCGCTAAATAATTTGCTCGTACAAACTTCCGTCATTTTGGATAACACTCATTCGCATATTCACTATTTTTATGTCGCTGCCTAAGGCATATGTAGGGTGCGAACAATTCTATAAATGATGGCAGGTGTGTGTGAGTCTCATCGGAGCTTTGAGTATTTCTTCTGAAATGTCCAGAAAGAGACAGAGATATGGTTCGTAAAAGACATTTATGAATGCTTTTATGATTGACAAATTTTCGAAGAAAGATATGAATCCTTCGTTGATGATCGCGATTGTAAACTTTCCATAAAGTTAAAATATCCGTGAGATTCGTTGCAATAAGTCCCGAATTTTTCAATAAAACTTCCGTTGGGTTACTGGCAATTTTTAAGGGATTTGCTGTATCGATTAATTTACACAAATCGGTTTTACTTCCTCCTGGGGCATCCCAAACATGGAAGCTGGTCCAGCTTTCCATCATTGGAGGTTTTCGTAGCTTATTTACAATGTATACTCTCCCGGATTTGCCAGGCGAGACAACCTCTTTTTTCCGTGTATGTTGTTTTGACATATGCAAAAGTTTTCCTTCACCGGTATGACCTCACCAGAACTTTTTCTGATGCTTTAAAGAGTTGCGTCGCAAATGAAGAACGAAAGACCACCACATTGCACAAATGAGAAACGACGAACCATCATATCGCACAAATGACGAGTTTAGTATAGTAATTATTCCATTCGCTCAGCAACTTCGCCTACTTAAAAGAAGTCATCAAAAATACCGGCATGAAAGAAAGTTAGCGCAGCATCTCTCATTTGCCCTGCCGCTTCTACAGCTTCAGCTCCAAGATGCTCCTTTTCGACTATTAAGTGGGTAATTAATCAGAAGTAACTTTAGACCTTCCCAAATGCTCTGAAGCTCTTAGTTTATCCAGACTCGGTGGAACGGTAAACCATATCATTCAGAACTTGAGTCAAAATGCTGACCATTCATTTGAAGATTTTGATTGAAGGATGTCTGATAAAAATATACTCAATAATCATTTTTAGTAACATATAGAGCTCATACAAATTATGCTGTTAGTCTTATATTTTCGTAGAATCGTGCATTATCCGTCGTAAGGCATCATAGAATCCATTGATTTCTGAGATGAAATGTTTTGATTGATATTAAGATGATCGTTCTCGCTGTTCCGTCACCGCGCCAAAAGGCAGCGGGAACTGGGAACAGTTTTTGCCTTAAAATAAATCTGTGCGCCTAATATGTGCTTGGCACTTCTTGTTTATCTTGCAGTGTAAATTCAAAACGCGCGATGCAACTGTATAAACTCCGAAGTGGCTCAAATTGCATAGCCGCTGAATAGAAGGATCATTCTGTTTTTTCGTGTACACGCACTTTGAGTTCAATGCATGCCCTTTTGCCTTAGGATGATCATGTTCTTTTTCCAAAGCTAGAAGAGAAATGCGAATTTACTGTGCACAGTGTAAATGACGAACATTTATATCTCACGTGTGAGCTAATGTCATGGAATTTTTTCATGTGTTTAACTCGCCGTGTGCTCATTTCTGATGAGGGAACAGTCGGTAGAGTCGGTGTGGATACATGGGGTGGCGAATTCAAAAATCGACAGCAGTAGGTGCCAAACTCAAATACACATTCTCTCTCCCCCTAATTACCCGGCGAAACACCAGAGGCTTAAAATATTGAAAAGGCGAAGGAGGGGGTGTTAAAACCTCATCTATCATCGCGCCAAGAATCGGGGATGTTTACGCGTTGAGAACAGCGAGCATTAAGTGCGCGTTTAGCGCGGCCGAGCTCAACTTTTTTCGGCTATTCTGCTGTGTTGTAGAAGAACGCCGTATGAGCCTTCGGACGTTGCCAATTCCTGCGATAAACCACGAATTTTCCAAGAACCTTTTTTTTAATTTTTATCCTCATCTCTTAGACTATCCTGTTCGCAACTCAACTGAACATCTAGAGTAAAATGCTCAATATCGACCCCTAAAATGAACTTTTCATTGCGGGGAAATGGAACATTACATTGCTCATACGGCGTTTTCCCTTAGCGATTCCCGTGATAGAACACGAATTTTCGCTATATTTCTTGTACACATTTTCACGGTTAAAAAATTGAGTATTGAATAGCACGGATGAAACGTTCAAACGCTCGTTTCAAATTTTTCAAACTGACGACAGTCGAAAATTCAATAAAAGCCGCCCTAAATCTTCGGCGGCAGGACTCCCTGAGTGTTGCCAAGCCAATATATTTCGCCGTGCCGGTTCAGCCCAAACGCAGGGTTTTAGTCTCAGGAGTTTACGGGAATGCGTTAACCCTCTATTGCATACATATGTATACATATATGTAATTTAACTTATTTTCTTTTTTCAAAATTCTTTACGAGCAGCGCAACAATGTTTCTGAATGCATCTATGGAAGCTCAAAGTTGAATTCTATTGGATATAAATGACGGAACGCACCGCATTTTCGGTGTTTTCGCCAGCCACTGTAAAATAGCCTTTTGTATCCAGGGTCCAAAAACTGCTTTTGATCCAATTGCATTTTTGCTTGCGTCCAAAGGAAAGTCGTTTTAATTATAAGAATCTTTGCTCTCTATTCAAGCCAAAATCCGATTTAATTTAAGAGAATTTTTTCTTGTCAAATTTTTTTTAGAGTCTGGACTCCAGATCCAAGAGACTTTTGTCCAGCGAGCGGGAAGTTCGTACTCATTAACTTAAATGGGAGAAATAACTTCTCATCGCCCTCGGTCTAGTCGACTTCGGACTTTCCTCAACGCGTTGAACATGCTCAACGCGGAACTTTAAGGAGAAAGCATGTGTTGTGGTGACTTGATTCTTACCTCAAACAGTGGTCCATTCCGCGTGGTTTATCCCGTTCAAAATAAGTTACGGGTGTCTCGCCTCGGAAGGAGAGTCGACGACGAAGCGGACGCATAGATCTGTTTACCCAACTCCGAGCCGGCGTGCAAATAAATAATACTATTTTAAGTTGGGGAAAAATATCCCCGTTTCGGGAGCCGGGTTTCGTAAGAGGATTGAAAGCCGCGGAGCCGGGCGGAGCAGTTAATTATGGGTTCGCGGAGATTGCAATCTGAAAAATGGTCACGAACCCAATGAAACTTAATCAATCCCGGCGGAGCGCGATATTGTTTGTGGAAACGCGGAAATGCGAAAACGCTCGCGTCGCTTATAATTCCGGCCATCAATCGGTGCCAGCGCCACGCGGCCAGGAGTCGGAAGGATGACGCTCTCGCGGCGGCAAATTTAAAGAGGGTCATTTCGGGATTCACGCCCACCCCTCATCTTTTATCCTCCGAATGCTGGAGCACCCTTCTTGCTTGCACTCTCCCGCGCTTTTCTCTGATTTTTGAATAGTTAGTATTTCTCGAGGTAATCTTCACCGGGAATGTACGAACATCAACAAACAAAAAATCAATCATCATCAACATTTACAACCAAAAAGATCATTTAAAACGAAAACAAAAAATCATTCAAACAAATCAACAAATCGTAATCATTTTGAACAAAAAATGGGCAAAATTGACAGGAAAGAAAGCAGAATAGAGTTACGAAAAAAACATCGCATTCGATTAAGTCATTGATTTCTGAATGGAATGCGAGGTTTTATTCCCAACACTATTCTGCTTTCATTTTTCTGAATTTTGCCCATTTTTTTTGTTTGAAATGATTCTTTAAGCTCATGCGCAGGAGCCTTCGTCCTTTTTTTGGCTTTAAATTCAAAATCTTCCGTCATTGTTTTTTGACATGATCTATGCGGTGTATGGAATGCTAGTTGAACCGCGTGAGATAGCTCGAAGAATCACCTCAAGGCTTAAGTACTTTCTACAGATTGACTTTTTTCCATAAACCACACCATTTCCAAGAAAATCAATGATAAAATCGAACCGCAACGGTACCACCGCACGTTATAAAAAAAATTCGACACGCCCGAAATACAAACGCCTCCTTTTTTCTCCATGACTTTGGTGTTTCATCTTTCCTCGTATTGTAAGGGAGCTACTGCTCCCCCCCCCCCCCAACCTCT